GGGGGGATTTGGGATCTGTTCCCAGGGAACAGGGACAGGACAAGGGGAAATGGGCTCAGGCTGGGCCAGGGCAGGCTCAGGGTGGGCAGCAGCAGGAATTTCTGCCTGGAAAGGGAGCTCAGGCCTTGGCACTGCCCAGGGAGGTGGTGAAGTCTCATCCCTGGAGGTATCCAGGGAATTCCTGGATGTGGCACTCAGAGCTCAGGGCTGGGGACAAGGTGGGGATCACTCACAGACTGGACTCACAACTGAAATCATTCTGTGATTCCAGAAAAAATCCCCTGCTCTAAGCCCCAGGGCAAGCCCAACAACCTCACCTGGTCAGAAACTGATAAAGGTTGTACTGGATTCAAGTTCAACAAAGATGGCATAAGTCACAATATTTAATCAGAGGTTTCTTTGAAAGCCTTCCAAAACTTTTAACACAGGTTCCCTCCAGACAAAACAGAACAAACTCAAACCCAGGAGAGTTCCAAAGCACCCGAATTTCTGTGACTTCACATCAAGTCACAGAAACTCAGGTGGTTTGGAACTCCCAAAGTCCCAGCTGAGTGTCAGTAAGTGCTCCAGCACTGAGTTCCAGTGTCAGCTGAGCACCCAGAGCAGAGAGAGGATCCCTGAGGAACTTGCAGGTCAGGCTAAGAACGGGGAGGTGGCAGTGGCACTGAGGTGCCAGCCCCGCTGCCAAGGTGCTGTTTGAAGCTCACGGCCCTCTGGATCCATTTTCACTCCCCAGGGAAGCACTCAGCCTGGCCCCAGGAGCCCTGCAGGCCAGCACGGAGTGTCTCAGCACAGATTTGGCACAGGCAGCTCTGTTCTCCAGCTCACACAGCCAGGGCGCAGAGCTGGCAGCACACTCAGTGCCACAACACCCAAACCAGAACCAAACCCTCATCTTCCTTCACTGTCCCACAGCCTCAGGAGTAGAAACGGCTTTTTACAACCTGCCTGTTGAAATTAATGTCTGCTATGGGATTTACCAGGAGCAAACAAGAGCAAATCCTGCAGCTGAAATTGTTTCCTTGAAATACAGCAGTGCTCCTGTCGGGTAAGAGAAAGGAAATACTGCAGGAGGATTTTTGAGCAGTAAGAAGTTGGACACAGACTAATTAAGAGCTTACCCCTCCCTCTCAGGAAGGGAAGACTTTTTGTGGAGGGGATTTCTGAGCACTCCGTGCTTCTAAGAGAAGCTGGCAAAGCCTCCCCTCTCCATCCCAGCCCACAGGCCCCAGCACTGCTTGCAGAGCACAGGAGAGAACTCTGCAGCTGCCTCTGAATGCAGTCTGCATTACTGGGAAGGGCTCTGAGCTGCATTCCTGCCCTTTTCCCATCACCCCAGACTGGAGATGCAGCAGGAGCAGGTCCCACACAGCTGGCAGCTCAGGGCTCTCCCAGAGCTCCCTGGCACACCTGGGGAGGAGGGAAATTCCAGTGAGGAACACCTGGAAACAGCAACTGCTTTCCCCCAGCACAACTGACTTCAGGATAAAACAGCTTGCTCAGTTTTAATTCATTAATTTCACCTCCTACATTAACTTAGGGTGTGAAATCTTCCTCACCACCTTCACAGGTCTGAACTAAAATAATTCTAGGTTTGTGAAGTGTTAGATATTACCGAAAGGGTACAGGAGTACAGAACCATTAATCTGCATTTAAAAGTCTCTCTGCCACTGCCCCAGGCAATGGGAACTGAACACCTACACAGGGCTGATAACTTTAACTTTGTCTGAGCTGCCAGACACACAACACCTGCTTCAAGAGCCTGGCTGCACCCAAACTGCTCCAGCTGTGCTCACAAAGGGGCTTCCTTCCACAAGAACATAAGCCTGAAGTAAAAGTCCAGCTGATGACATTTGCCATGGCCTTCTGTAAAACTAAGGGGCTTTATCCCTTAGTTTTGTCACTTTCTGTTTTAATAAATAAATACAAATTTAAGTTAGGGCATCAGCTCCCTCCCTGCTTGCTTTATGCCAGGACACCCCTTTGCCCCCCACCTCTTAAATCACAGAATCACTGAGGCTCTCGTTCACCCAAGACCACTGAGTCCAACCTTTGACCTAAATAAAGTTAAAAGTTGCACTGACAAAGTCTGAAAAATACCTCACCTTGCAGTCAGTCAGCAGCTACTTAAGTTACTTTAAGTGCTAACCACAGCACATCCTTTAGACATGTAACTCTTAAAATTTAGCGATGAGTTGGCACCTGCTGTCATAATTCTATTTGTTTCCACCTGGCCAAATATAATGTACTACCTGCTGTGGAATGTTGAGGTCTCCTACTGCTTCTTCCAGATCTGGGCTGCCTAAAACTCTTCATTACATAAGTTTTTTTTAAATAAATCTGTATTATTTAAGCACAGGTGAGAAATTAAAATAGTTCAGTCCTTACAGCCCACAGGACTGGGAAAGGCCCATAAAACTATTTAAATTTAGGTACAGTTTAACAATAGAAATCTGTTTAAACACTAAACCAGAGATGACAAATTCATGGTTCCTTCTACCTGGAACCAAGGGGAAAACAATTAACCTAATAAAAATATTATGAATTCCAATCTTATCACCTGAATCACTGTATCTGAGTCCCTCTTTAGGCTCTCTAAAGCTGCCCCAGAGCAGCCCATGCAGGCAGGCTGAGTGTGGAGCTCAGGGTGGCTCAGGCACCAAGCCAGGCCCAAGGCCTGGCTTTAATCTTCCAGATGTGGTTCCTTCCCTCCTCAGAAACTGCCACAGCTCCCACAACACACAGCTGAACACACCCACCCTGCTTTAAAGGGTTCCTAAGTCAGAACACCCACCTTGGTTTAAAGAGCTGTCCAGCTGAGAATATCCACCCTGGTTTAAAGAGTTCCTAAGTGAGAACAGAACTGAGAACATCCACCCTGGTTTAAAGAGTTCCTAACTCAGAACAGAACTGAGAACATCCACCCTGGTTTAAAGAGTTCCTAAGTGAGAACAGAACTGAGAACATCCACCCTGGTTTAAAGGGCTCCTAACTGAGAATATCCACCCTGGTTTAAAGGGCTCCTAACTGAGAACAGAACTGAGAACATCCACCCTGGTTTAAAGAGTTCCTAACTCAGAACAGAACTGAGAACATCCACCCTGGTTTAAAGAGTTCCTAACTCAGAACAGAACTGAGAATATCCACCCTGGTTTAAAGGGCTCCTAACTCAGAACATCAACCTTGGTTTAAAGGGTTGCACAACTCAGAACATCAACCTTGGTTTAAAGAACTCAGAACAGAACTGAGAACATCCACCCTGGTTTAAAGGGTTGCACAACTCAGAACACCCACCCTGGTTTAAAGGGCTCCTAACTCAGAACATCAACCTTGGTTTAAACGGCTCCTAACTCAGAACATCAACCTTGGTTTAAAGAACTCAGAACAGAACTGAGAACATCCACCCTGGTTTAAAGGGCTCCTAACTGAGAACAGAACTGAGAACATCCACCCTGGTTTAACTCAGAACACCCACCCTGGTTTAAAGGGCTCCTAACTCAGAACAGAACTGAGAACATCCACCCTGGTTTAAAGGGCTCCTAACTGAGAACAGAACTGAGAACATCCACCCTGGTTTAACTGAGAACATCCACCCTGGTTTAAAGGGCTCCTAACTCAGAACAGAACTGAGAACACCCACCCAGGGCTGCCCAGGACTGAGAGCCCTCACTCCCCCTTCACCTGGGCTGGTGAGAGGTAATTGAACTGCTGGAGAAGTGATGCTGTTCAGTTGCTGCAAAAGCCCTTTTTCCTTGCATTATGGCTCCTTCCCAAGTCCCCTCCACCACCCAGCACTCCCCAAAAGATGTATTGCTCTGGGGTCCTGGATAAACCAGGCCTGAGTGCATCAGCTGCAGCACAGCCAACGAACAAAGCCATTTACTGTTCCAAAAACCCCAGCCTGCTCCAAACCCAGGGAGTCTGGGACAATGCTGGCAGGGCTGCTGCATTCAGCACCACAGGAACTGCAGTGAACAATCAGGGTGTCCCACGGAGCTGCCAGGAGGTCCTGGACGATGTGTCCCCTTAAATACAGCATTCTGGAATGGTCAGGAGCCAACTCTGGCAGCCCGGCCTGGGAGCTGCTCCCTTGGGACTCACTGGTTTGACTGGGAAGGGGCTTTAAAGCTCAGCCAGTGCCACCCTTGGACCCCTGGCAATGCCCATGGCCAGGCTGGGGCTTGAAGCACCCTGGGATCATGGAAGGTGTCCCTGCCATGGCAGAGGGATGAAATTCAGTGTTGTTTAAAGCTCTTTCCCACCCAGAGCATTCCGTAATTCTGTGATTCACCTTCCCCAGACGAGGGACGTGCTGTACAACAAACACAGTTCTGGAGGAATTTTAAACAGAGGAGTCCATCTTTTTACATTATTTCATATTTTCACATGTCCAACACATCACTGAAAATGCAGAAGTCACTGCTTCACAACACCAGTTTGTCATAAGTGAAAAATGTCAGTACCAGTTTGGTGTCAGAAACAGGCAACTGAAAAAACTTGAGGTCTACACCACAGTCAATCCCAACAGATCCTGTTACCTGAATACACTGAGAAGTCTCTCAGGGCAACTTCCACTTTCCTGGGCTCACTTCCTCCGTCAGACATTTAAACGACAACCTAAGGAGAGGCGAATAACACCGAGTGAGCTTTTCCTGCAAGAAAGCAGCAGTTTTCCCCACAAAAGTGACACTGCCTCATTTCACAGCCCCTCAGGGTGCTGCTTCTGCCCTGGCTGCTGCTTCTGTTAGCTCCAAACCAGTGCAGCCTGCACACCCCGGGTCTCCCGTTAATTCCAAATCAGTGCAGCCTGCACACCCCGGCTCTCCCGTTAACCCAAATCAGTGCAGCCTGCACACCCCGGCTCTCCCGTTAACCCAAATCAGTGCAGCCTGCACACCCCGGCTCTCCCGTTAATTCCAAATCAATGTAGCCTGCATATCCCGGGTCTCCCGTTAACCCCAAACCAGTGCAGCCTGCACACCCCGGCTCTCCCGTTAATTCCAATTCAATGCAGCCTGCACACCCCGGCTCTCCCGTTAACCCAAATCAGTGCAGCCTGCACACCCCGGCTCTCCCGTTAACCCAAATCAGTGCAGCCTGCACATCCCGGCTCTCCCGTTAACCCAAATCAGTGCAGCCTGCACACCCCGGGTCCCCCGTTAACCCCAAATCAGTGCAGCCTGCACACCCCGGCTCCTTGCCAGCGGCTGTTCCGCGGCCGGGAGGAACACCGGGGCACGGTCAAACCGGCGGCCGCTCCCCCAGCGCGGTGGCCCGGGCCCCGCTGGGCTCTCCCCGCCCGGCCCCGCGCTGTCCCCGTACCCGAGCCGGTGCCGGGGCTGCCGCGGCTCGCGGGCTCCAGGGGCGGCCGGGCCGCCTCAGCCGCCGCCGCGCTCCAACGGTCCCGGCCGCCGCCGCGCGGCGCCCCGGCCAATCAGGGCCCGCCTCCGCCGGGGGCGCGCGGCCCCCCGCCAATCCGCGCCCGCCCGGGCCCGCCTTCTCGCGCCCCTCAGCCAATCGGCGGCCAGCGCCGCCCGGCGCGCTCCCGCCCCCGCCGCAGCGCGCGCGCGCCGCGCGGCGCTCACCCGGTGGGGGGGACGGCGGGACCGCGCAGGCGCAGCGCGAGCGGCCGAGGGGGCGGCCCCGCCCCCGGCCCGCCCTGAGGGGAGCGGGGCGGGCGGAGCGATGGCCGGGGGAGCGCCGGGGGCCTGTCAGCCACGGGTGCCCTCACAGCCGTCCCTCGGCACCGTGACAGCCATGCATCCC